TTGTAAATGAGGTATAAGAGTTACTTAGTCAACTGCATGAAGTTGTGGAAGTTGAACAAACCACTGTTGGGTTGGATGAAGGTGATGTTAGAGTTGATGAAGCTACTGCTGGGTTGGAGGAAGGTAATGTTGGAGTTGATCAAGGGAATCCTGTAGTGGGTGAACATATTGTTGGAGTTGAACAAGGGAATCCTGCAGGGGAAAAAGGTAATGTTGGAGTTGAAAAAGGTAAAATTACAGCGTATGATGACTTAAGTTTATCATCTGATGATAGTGAAGATGAGGACTACAATTATGATAGCGCACAAGATATGGCTTTTGAGGATGAGTCTGATGGGTGTGATGAGATTAAAGAGGATGAACTCGATACCCTATTTGGTCATGAAAATGATGGTAATGGAGAAGTCCAAGAAAATGATGGTAAAGGGAGTGACAATGACAGTGAGGACATGCAAAGCGGTTGTGACAGTGATGATAGCAGTGGAGTTCTAAGAAAAAAAATCCAATTTTCAGACAGCCAAATGACATGTCAGATTACAAGTGGGATGTGAGAATGTACTTTAGTTCAAAGGGTGATTTTAGGGAAGCAATAACAACTTATGTTATACAAAATGGTAGAGACCCAAGGTTTGTAAAAAATGACAGAGTTAGGGTAAGGGTTAGATCTAAAGTTGGTTGTGAGTGGGAGGCTTATTGTAGCAAGTTGTTAAATGAAGACACTTGGCAACTCAGGAAAGTAATTGACAAACACAGTTGTAGTAGAGAGTATAATGTGAAGCTGGTGAGTACAAAGTGGTTGAGTAAAATAATTCAGAATAGCTTGAAAAAAAATCCAAGGTTGAGTATAAAGGATATCAAGGATAAAGCACAAAAAAAACGAAATGTTGGGGTCAATAAAACCAAAACTATAAGAGCAAGATTTGCAGCTAGAGACTATGTTGATGGTTCCTTTTTAGAAGATTACACAAGGGTCTATGACTACTGTCATGAACTGTTAAGAGCCAATCTATGGTCAATAGTTAAGATCAATGTTGAGCATGTATAGGAAGGTGTTGAGGATGAAAGACCATATTTTAGAAGGTTTTACATATGTTATGCTACGTGTAAGGAAAACTTTAAGTTGTTCAGGCATGTAATAGGTCTAGATAGGTGTTTTCTGAAGGGGTTGTGTGGCGGGCAGATTCTAGATGCCATTGGGAGGGATCCTAATGATCAAATGCTTCCCATAGCATATGCAGTTGTGGAGAGTGAAAACAAGAATAGCTGGACTTGGTTTTTAGAGTTGTTAATTGATGACCTTGAAGGCAAAGATGAATGTCTGACTTACACCTTCATCTGAGACCAACAAAAGGCAGGTTTTTCATTTATTCTTATGGTTTTATGTGTTTATGTTATGCTATTCCTATTATGTTATATTGTAATGCTACATTGTATGTTATTGCAGGGTCTGCTACCTACTATGGATGAGAAATTGCCAAGGGTGGAGCACAAGTTTTATGTTAGACACCTCTATAACAAATTTAGGAAGAAGTTTCCTGGAAAGATGTTGGAGGACATAATATGGAAGGCTGCCAAGTCAACATACCCACAGGCATGGGAAAGAGAGATGAAGAGAATGAGGGTCATCAATAAAGAAGCATTTAAACATATGATGAATACCCCACCAAGGTTTTGGAGTAGATCTTACTTTAGGACTGAAAACAAATGTGATGTTGTTCTCAATAACATGTTTGAGTCCTTTAATAGTGTCATTTTTGAAGCAATGGCAAAACCCCTAATCACTATGTTAGAAGACATCAGAACACACATGATGGAGAGATGGGCAAATAACAGAATGAGATTTAGTACTTTGCATGAGAATGATATTTTGCCCAATATTAGAAAGAAACTTGATGTCACAAGCACATACACTAACAACTGGCTAGTAAGGTATGTAATCTCAGCATACATTAATTCTTTGGGATGTCTATGACATACATGTGGCTAATGTATTTTGTTTGTTTAATCATTTAGGATGTCTGATGAACATATATTTGAAGTAAGGCACCTAGAAAATCAAGCTGACAAGTTTGTTGTGAACCTGAAAGATCAGATATGTTCATGCAGAAGATGAGAACTCATAGGACTCCCATGTGTTCATGCTCATTCTGCTATGAAGAGTAGGAATTTCAAAATTGATACTTATATTCCAGATTATTATAGGGTTTCAAGGTACAAGGCAGTTTATAAACATGTGATCTACCTTGTTAATGGAGCAAACTTGTGGGTTAAGACACCATATCCAGATGTGCAACCACCCAAGTTCAGGAAGATGCCTGGTAGACCTAAAAAGAGGAGGAACCTATAACAAGGTGAAATTGATGGGTCTACTTGCAAATTGAGAAGAACAAGTTTTCTGGTGAAGTGTAGTACGTGTAAGAAAGCAGAACATTACAAGTCTACATGTAAGGACACAACAACTCAGACTACTTAACAATCAGCCCAACCCTCTCGTACTCTAACTCAGACTGCTCAACAACCAAGCCAACACACTCCTACTTCAACAACTCATCCTACTCGACAACCAAGCCAACCTCTCAAAACAAAGCAACACACACTGCTAAGAGAACTTCTACTCAACAATCTAGCCAAGCATCTCAAACTTCTAAGGGAAAGGCTGCTTAAAAGACACATGGACCTGCTAAGGGCAAGACACAAAAGCTGCCTGTAAGGAAGCCAACAAGATCTTTTATGCCACCTGGGACTACAACTAGGTTGAGTGCTGCCAAGAATGTTGTTGGCCCAGTAACAAGGAGGTCTACTCCAACAAAGAGGACCACACCAAAGAAGAAATTCTAGTTGTGGAACACGTGCATCAGTTGTGTTAAAAGTATAACCTATTTTGTGGAACATGTGTGGAATGTATTACAAGTTTATTTATTATGCTGTTGTTGTGGAACCTGTTTTGTGGAATGTATTACAAGTTTATGTATCCTGCTGCTGTTGTAGTTTATGTATCATGCTATCATGAACTTTATGTTAAAAGCATAACCAACTTATATGTATTATGAAATGAACCTAAAAGCATAATCTGTCATGAACTTTATGTATTATGAAATGGACCTGTCGTGAACTTTATATTACTATGATCATGTCTAATGTGGTGTAAAAATGCAGACAAAATTAACAAACCAACTTTGACAGGTCTATAACAGACCAAGTAAACATAAAAACATAACATACCAAATATATCATTGACAGACCAAATTAACATAATTTTTAACTGTTGGTTATGCTTTGACAGACCAAATTAAAAACACTTTAATATGATATTTATCAATGCATACCAAGTTAACTTTATCTTCAACTGTTATGTTCATGTGGAACTAATACAATCCAAAACTAAAACTGACACATTCATGTTGAATTGCAAAAAGTGAAATTAACTAAACTGATATAGGATTAGAATCATATATTAGAATCTAACTATTACATTCATGTTGAAGTGATACAATCCAAAACTGATAGAAACTTTAATTGAACTTAAACCTAATTCTTACAACCAAAACTTAACTTAATTCTTACAAACAAACCATAACATATTACTTCCAAACAAACCTTAATACCCTAACTACTACTAACAACTAATACAATGATAATCATCACAAACATCAAATTCAAAATCTTTTTTTACTTCATGATATTTTTCATTTCACTTTCAAGTTTCATTAGTTTTTTTCCCTAATTCTTCATTCTCCATTGTCACTTTTTCAATGTCCTTTTTTGCTTCAGCAAGTCCCTTAGTTACCACACCCAACCTATGCATCCAAAATTGCTCATTCTCATCACCCGTCTCCTCATAAAACTAACCAAAAAAACCACAACCAGCTTGCACACCTCCTTGTAAGTTTCACTGTTTAGAGGATGATGGATAATGAATTTAAACTTAAACAGAAATATAACTTATAATTTGGACAAAAACAGAAACATAAACATAACTTAAACAAAGACAAAACTTCAACAGAGAAAAAAACCAACTTGCATATCTTATAATTTGGACAACCCCAAAAAAGTTTTCCCATATTCTTAACAGTAGTTACCATTTGAAGAACAACCATGTCTCCACAACGGCATATGGGCTTCCATCATGACCTACTACAAATATTCGAATCTCGACTTCCCAATTTCAACATGGAGGAGGAACAACCGGATTTCATGCTTGCCAAATAAAAAAACCTAGCTTAATTTAGGGATTTGAGATTGAGATTGGAAAATCACAGTCACACAATGTGAACGGAAGGAGGAAGGAGAAGGAAGCAACATGATGAACATAATTGCCAGGTCATCTGCCAGATATATAAAATAAACAAACGTTTGAGAACAACTGACGGTGATGACTAAATTGACACCGTTTTAAAAGTTAAAGAACCAACTTGACACTTTTTAAAGTTAAGAGATCAAACCAGACCCCGAGTTAAAGTTAAGGGACGAAAAGAGATATGTTGTCAATTAAAAAATAAATTATATATTTTTTAATTTCTAAAATTACATTCTAAATTATTAAAATGATTTTTTTTTATAATCTATAATAGTAATTATTATTATGGGTACTTTTCTCTTCTTTCTCTATAGATGATGAGTGTTAATGCCACTAGGATGATCAAGAATAAAGATGGCCTTCTTAAATACATACGTATTATTCTTTCCTTAAGTATATAACATATATATATATATATATATATATTTTTTTTTTTGGGTATTTTGATTTTCAGCCTAAACCTAAATTAACCACGCTTACTATACCAACTTTTTTATTTTATTTTTGGTTCAAAATTACTTGTGAGATAAAACGACGTCCTTAAAGTCGACAGTTAGAAACACAAAGCCCTAAACCCTGCTGCGCCACATTAGTTCTCTTCTCTTCTTTTGCCTCTTTTCGACATTTTTGTGGACGAAGAAGACGAAGCAACAAAACCAAAACCCTAACCTCTCAATCACTGGTCTGTTGCAAAACCCTAGCAATGGCAACTTCCATAGCCTCTCAATTAGAAGCTATCAGATCCATCGCACATGTTGATTCCGCTCCTCTGAAAAGGCCTTTCACTCGTCCTTCTATCTTGTTCGATCCTAAGGAAGCTGCTGATATTAGTATTGAATCCATTTTCACTATTGCACTTCAAGGTAACTTCACTTTTCAATATTATTTTGCCCTTTTTTGATAAGCTTGTTGTATTGAATTGAGTTTTTTATTCTGTTACAGGTTTGGAGGTTCTTATTAGCAACGACGAACGGTTTAGGAATTATAAAAATGATTTGTTCAGTCACCGAAGTAAAGAGTTGGACAGAGAGTTAATGGGGATAGAACAGAATAATCAACTTAACGTGTTAATTAATTCATATTTAAAACTTGTTTCTGGATTTTTTATGCTTCCGTCTGCACTTCAAACACTCGAATATTTGATACGAAGACACAAGTGAGCACTCTATTTCATAATTTGTTTTTTTTTTCAAGTGATTATGTTTAGTAAAATTTGATGTGACTTATTTTGAGCTTCAGGATTCATGTGTACAACAATGAGGATTTGATATTGTGCGCATTGCCGTACCACGACACACATGCATTTGTTCGAGTAGTACAGATACTTGATATAAGGTTATAAAGATAATATTGCTTGTTTGTTACTCGTGTGTTTGGTTGGCTGTGATGTAGATTACTAGTTGGAGTTGGAATGGTTTCTGATGTTTTTATTGACTTCTGTAAAGGAATGGTACATGGGGTTTTTTGGAGGGCGTGAAAGTCTCTGGTGCACCTCCACCTAGAAAGGTTATAGTGCAGCAATGCCTTCGTGATAAGGGCGTATTAGAAGTTCTATGCAACTATGTGAGTAAAATAGAAGTGTTTAGATGTGAATTTGATAGCTGTGTAAGAGAGTTAAATAATAAGATAACTACATTTTTGGTTGCAGGCATCTCCGTCTAAAAAGTTTCAACCTTCGAAGAATGTAATTGGCTTTTGTACTGCTGTTTTTGTTGAACTTTTGGGGACTGTTGTGACGGTTGATGATGATATTGTCAAGAGAATACTTCCTTTTGTGGTCTCCGGTCTTCAGTCAGGTGTTAAGGGTCTTTCAGATCACAAGGTTAGATTGTTTTCATTCATTCAAACTGATTATATTATATGTGGGCATCATTTTGTAATTTTTGTGACCAAGTACACAAGCTTCGAAATGGGCAGACCATGTGAAATGAATTTGCATTTTCCCCTTAATATTTTATTATGCATCATAAATAGTACTACCTCCATTTCAAAATGATTGTCGTTTAAATGTAATAATATTGTCATAAGACATTGCACTTTTACTAAACTAACCTTATAAAAGTATTGGAAGTAGTTTACTATAATTAAAAGACATAATTGGAAAAATATCAATCATTTCTACATTGAAAAGTGAGAATGACTAGAATGGATGGAGTAATACATTATCATGCATTTTCCCTCATATTAAGAAATTATATTCACTCCTATGTCTTTCTAGTAATCTAGAATATGCTAGGACTAGCTCATGTTATAACCTATGATTTGTTAAACCAATTTATTGCATGATTTTGCTGTTGATTATATGATTTTGAAAGTCCTCAAACTCCGGAATGACAATGTAACCAAAGTATATGATTGTAAACCTGCATATTTGGATAAGGCTGAGTGATTATTGTTTATTGAATATTATTTCTGTACAATTTAATCCATGGTCATTCTTACATTATTTATTGTTACCCTTTATTTTTAAATCACAAAAGAAATAGTACTTATTCACTGATGTTAAAGTTCTCTCCGCTTGCTCTCCGTGTGTGTAACTGAGAAGGAAACTCTCTTCAAAAGAACATGCACCGAACACCAAACAAACCATGGGCCAACTCTTTCTCGAATACACACGTCTAAGGAAATGTATCTCTATTTAAGATTTCACTTCCGTCACCCGAAGGGCATTATACGTTTGTGTTCCACTAAAAAAATACGATTCTATATAGTATATGTATCACCTTACTTTTAGGACTCTTAAAGTTTGCAAACTTCCTATTAGGAGGATCTGATTTAGGCAGGCTAGGAGGGATAGTTAGGCACAACTGCTTAACTGATTTAAATACAGGCACAGGCTCAGTCATAGGGAGAGGAAGGGGAATAAAAGAGGTAAGAGAGGAGAGAACAAGCAACCTTTTTTGATCCAGTTGATTGCCGAGTAGGACCCGGCTTCTAATTTCTAGTTTAAAAAGAGCGTGTTCTCTGTATTCTTCATTATTCAATCAGGATCATCTGTTTCAGATCTTATAGTCTTTTATATTCTAAATATTAGTACTTGATGCCACATATATTTCTTTTTTATTGTTTTTTGTTGCACTTTCTGATGCACTGTTGTACTTTGCAGGCCAGTTCATTGATGATAGTTGGCTTGCTTGGGAATAAAGCTGCATTGGCTCCTAAACTTTTGAATAGTTTGATACGTTCAGTTACCGAGGTTGCTCGGGAGGAGGCTAAAGAGTTGATAGATCTTCATTGGTTTCGGTTGTCCCTTATTGCCTTAATCAATCTTGTCCAGGTACCATGTTGTGACAGAACTTTTCATCCTATTTTCTCCTTGTTGTGCTATGTCTATACTTTTAAGTTAACTTGGTTATACTTTTATTCTTATTTTGTTGTGTTTGAATTTTCCTAGTCCCAAAATGTTGAAATACTTCCAATAAAGGCCTTGGAGATTTTAAAGGAACTCAGGTACTCTACCTCAAACTGTTCAACTTGTTGATGATACTTGTGGTTATGCTGTTTCCAGCATATTAATCATTTATATACATGATTTATAAAATCCTTTTTTTCCAGGGATTTGCCAGGGGTTTTATTAGAATTGTCTAAGGAGTTCAACATTGAAAAGTTTTTTGTTGTTTTATTGGACTCCCTAATTGACTGCAGGTGAGAATTCTATGATTTTCTTTCTGGCAATCTATTCATACTATACTATCAAAATCTTTTTTGTGCTAATTATTATTCATTTGCAGTTCTAAAGATGAATACTGCCAGCAGGCTTTGCTGTCCTTGATAGAAAAGGTCCCCATAAACGATTCTGTTCATCACGTGGTCACCAAAATCCTATCAACTTGTGTGAAACTATCGCAAAAAGTTGATGACTCGATATCTTTGATGTCAGGTGTGTATTGTGATTCTGAATTAAGATTTCAGAGAATTCTAGAATGTGATAAGATATAATATGAATTGAAATTAATTTCTGTATTCTATCACCATTAGTTGTAATTGTAATTGCTGTAACTAACAACTAAATTAGTTTTTACAGCTTTACCCGGCTCCGCTCTTGGCTTAATGACTAAACTAGATAATACAATAGTTGCAGTCTAGTCAATTATTCAATTATGATATGATGCCTTGGTTATTGTCCTCACAACTTTGTTGTTTTTCAAATGTCAATTAGCTGGTTGGGCAAAAAAGATTCTAATAATTGTTAATACAAAGTATCCGTCTGAACTCCGTGGAGCAGTTAATCATTTCCTTCAGGTATGCTGAATTTTTTTATTCTTTTCTTTGTTAGCAATTATACAAAAGTCTTAATGGTCTGAACTCAGCTTGTTCAACTTCGACAGAATAACAAAGCACATTCAAAGAAAGATGATTCACTGTATAAGATTTTATGTAAGATGTTGGATGGTAATTTGGATTCATCATCTGATATTTCAGAGTCTAAAGTTTGGTTTGCCTTGTATCATCCAAAGGTACCACCCGTAAACTTTCTATTACTGTCTATAATCCTGAAGTGTGAATGGTCATCTATTTTCTGTTAGTATTTATGAGCTTCATTCTTATTTGATGTGGTATAGGCTGATGTTAGACGTACTACACTGCGTGATATAAATTCTTCTGGCATCTTGAAAAACGAGGCATTTGTTTCAGAGGTATCTGTGCTCTGCTGCTACTCTTACCCTCTCCTCCTAAAACTATACTTTTCATTTATATTTTCATGCGTGACTCTGGTTTGAGAAATCCTTGGCATTTATCCTTGGAGTTGAAATGTTCAAAATTTGTGCTCAATATGGTTAATTACCGATATTTTACAAAAATCTCTAATCATTGTGGCCTATTGATTAAATATTATTATCTATTTTTGATTATATTTTATCTGAAAAGGTTGTGTTGTATATTTGTCAAACTGGTTTTGTTTGGAAATGTCTTTCTATATGTTGAGTTCCATTTCAAATGATTTGAACTAGTTATATTTGTAATCTAATATATGCGTTGTTGCTGAAAGAGAGGGAGTTGTAAGGCTATTGATATTACACATAATTGGTGGGTGTGGGTTAGTTGATTTTGATAGAAGACTTAATTAGTTGGTTTACAAGGTATGGTTTAAAAAATTGAATTTCTGATATAACTTTATTGAAGCTAATATTATTCGTTATAATTAAAGCTAGTATTTTTGTTGAGAAAAACACTGAAACACCAATTTTGTCATTTTCATTTTATTTTCCAAACATTCACTTGAGTATGATAAGTAACAAATTTTTTTTTGTTTTTTGATATGAAAATCTGAGATGCTTTGAAGTTGACAATGGGTAATCTTTATAATTTGGTCAATGTGTTAGTTATGTTGGATTGATGCTACTAGTTGTGTGCGATAGTGCATGGACATATGAGAATATACTAGAGTACGAGAAATCTCATGCTGTAAATCTTTGCCAAGTTATACAGTGCATAAATGATTCCTATTTCAAACAAAATGTTTTGTTGATCAGGGTCTTGTTGACATTCAAGAGGCCATTTTGAGACAGCTTGATGATAAAGATCTAACAGTTGTTCAAGCAGCTTTAAATGTTGATGGCTTGCAAAATGTACTAGGTGCTTCTAAGCTTATTGAGACACTGCAAACTGTGCTAAGAAGATGTGTTGGCAAGCTGCTGTCTGGTAAGTGGGGTATATTAAAAATAAAAATAATTTGGTAGAAATTCAGCTCCCTCTTTTGTTTAAATGTTACATCAAAGCCTTATAAACATGTTTGTCTGTGTTGTAAAAATAAACATGTTTGTCTGTGTTGTAAAAATAAACACGGTGACTGGTTAATTATAAGATAAGTCAAGACATACATTTTGTATTAGTGATGATATGGTACACGTAGCGATTGACCTCGGACCAGCTGCTGGGAAAATGAATCTTTTTCTCTGAATGTAGTCTTGTTGGATGATAAATGTTAATTGGTGTGGGCAACTCGTGTGCAGGGAACATATATTTGACCTTCCAAAGCATTAAATAAGAGTTAAAGGCTCCTTCATGCTTATCTAATTGGTCAGCATATGCTAATCTGTCTTTCTATTATACAGGGGGATTGATTAGTTCATCTGAGCTTAATTATTTTTAATGGATGGCTGGTCGTCCAGTTTTATTTATTTTTTAATCCAAATATGCTTGTATTTTATTTTTACTATGAATAAATGGCCTTCAACCCATACATTTCCATTTGTATTTTGCTGAGATAATCTGTTGTTTAGTTAGCCTTTTACCTATCTAAGATTTTATAGTAATTATAGTTATAAGAGAGGCAGCACCTTCATTAGAATGGAAGAGAGAAAGACTTGGTGGGCAAGAGTGAGTGGGAGAGGAGCTCTAACTCATCAAAACAGTGCTGGGGAGAAAGTAGTGAGACTGACGTTGGTGTATAATCGTTCTCACTAAAGTACTGCACATAGTTTGTTTACTGTGAAGTAAATTTACAGTTACATTATACCTTTGGATAAGTTCCCATTTAGTTCCAACAGATGTATGTGTTTTGACATTCTTTAACCTAGCAGTCTTGCCTTTGTTTCTTTTAGTAGTAGTTCATTGAATGACAACTTATCTAGCCCAGTGGAGAGGGATAAATAAATGATTTGTTGGACCAAGGCCTAATCTAGTAAAGCTCTTGCTTTCTGCCTCTGAGTTCATTTATAAATATTTGCTACAAAAAGCACAAGTTACTAATAAATTGACATGTATTAGGAGCAAAACTTTTATTTTTTTTGCTACAACTCTATTATAATTTGCAATTTTTGTAATTTCTTTGTATAAAAGCACCTCAATTTAAAATTTGGCTTACGGCTAACTTTTGGGCCTGCCCGGCATACAATTGTTGATATGTTTTTCAAATTCTCTTATGCAGGTTCAACCGATAATGTAAGTCTAACTGGAGAAGTCGCTGTCACCTGTTTAAAGAAAGCCATATCATATTTCCATGATCATTCTGATTACTTGAAAAACATTGCCGCCATGATTTTTCCATTACTCCTTGCTATGCCACAGGTTGGGCTGGATTTCAAATTTAACATTTATTTTTTAAATAGATTATTCCCGACTTTGCATATTCTTACTTCATTCTTGCATTCAGATGTCTGCATTACCTGACGACTACTTATCTTTCTTGTTGCAGACACAGGACTTGAATTTAAAAGCTCTTGTACTAGTCAACAAATTTACCTGGCCACTTTATCAGAATGTTGCGGTGTCTAGCTCTGAAGAAACGGTACATAACTACATAGATTTGATTTGCCAATATTTTTGTTTTTTAATGTGTACTTTTATATTGTAAAAACCAAAGTGTTGCTTGATAAGGCAAGTTTGTCAAACTCAAGATCCTACATAGAATTGGCCATGGTGAACGAAGGATATAGAATCAGTCACAAAGTCCCATTGATTTGGAAAAACAACTTCAAAAATTGAATGTTCAAATTTTTTTTCCTAACATCACTTTTAAGTTTGACTGTAGGAATGGCCAAATAGGACCCAGTCTAGTAGACGAGTATCTTGTTGTTTTACTGATAATATGTGTAGTGCCTGGGGGTTTTCTCATGGACATATTTTGTCTTCATCAAACTTCCACTTTACTAATTCAGAAAGTTCAATTGCAGACTCCGATACTTGGAAGTTTATCTTCTATTAACTTGAAGGTTATCAATAACTTGGCTAGCAATTTCATGGTCCACCCTGAAGATAATATTGCCTGGTTTGTTGAAAGCTGCAATGATTCAGAATTGTCAAAGACACTCTTCCTTTTTGTTCTATTGCAGTCTCTTCTGCTGATAAAACCAAAAAGTTAGTTTTACTTGTCATTTTGAATCCCCTTTTCTTCTTCCTGAAAATATTACTTAACAACACAAATAAATAGAAGCGTGCCATATTTAGAAGCAATTCAGAAGTGCTTATTTAGAGTAGTATATCTTATCTCTTTTAAGTTGCAGATTTGCAGTTCCCGTTTTTGTGTTTTAAATTTACCCAAAAAATAGGGTTAGAGAATGATGAATATTGACTTCCTTTTTCGATCAAAGGTGATGGCTTTTCTGCACTGTTTAAAAGTGTGTTTCCTATTCTGAAGGCTGAGTTGGAATCTTTAGTGAATGCTGGTGATGTTCTTTTGGATGAGGTATGAGGGGTTTACTCTCCCATGGTTGCTTTTATTTATCTTGTTTTTTCTTGTGATTACTAACTTTTTTTGTTTGTTGTGGAATTGTTTGCAGTTCAATTCTGAAATGCTAGACTGGGACTGTAGTTCTTTCTTTGATCATCTTTTGTATGCCAACCTCAGACCTTTAAATGCAAAAGTTATGGTTTGCATATTTTGGAGGCTGATCTCAGCACTAATGTCAGTAGAATCTTCAGGCAATCGGCTGGTTAGTAGTTCCTTCTATATTTCTTAAGCTTGTATTCAATTTTGTCTTATTAACTAGGTTTCCTTCTTTTGGAATTAATGTTAGTATTGGAGTTGTAGCAAATATATTTATGTACACAGTCATGTGATATCATAATGCACTTAGGAAGTAGCAATATCATTAACTTCCTTGTTAATGTAATTTATGTTCATTACTTAAAGTGTATAAATAGACAAGAGGATCAACTGAGTGTAAATAACTTGAGCATTAAGAAATTTCTTTCTTATACATCCTCTTCTATTATTCAAGTGTTATTATCTTCCCACTGCTCTCTGTTGGTTGCCTGGTTTGATGAATGAACCTTTTGTAATATGCAGGATGATAGCAAGATAAAGGATCTGTTTGTATTTTTTGCTTCCTCAAAGTTCAAACATGCATTCCGTGAACACCTCCATTTCTTAGCTGCACAGTGCAGTGTATCACCTGCCCGCCTATTATCTAAGTTTTTTACGGATGAAGGTACACTCCACAGTTTCCCTGTTGCTTGATGTACTCTATATCTTAAATGGACAATACTGTGTTGCTTGTACTGAGAAATTCATTCTTTTAAGATAGAATATTCAGTTCCTTTCTAAATGTCAACATCTCACATAATGCATAGTCAGTACATTCAAAGGATGTTTTTGTTTAGCTACAAATTTAAACTTTATGCCGGTGGTCTATATTAACATTTTATGCGTCTAAAGCAGTGCATATTAGCTTGATTCTTTGTTGGATCTTTTGTTGTACAGGTGTTCCTGCTACAGTTCAGGTTGAAAGTCTTCAGTGCTATGCATTTCTATGTAGTCTGTCACAAGATAAATGGCAAACTGAACTTTTGGCCGAATTTCCTTCTATTCTTGTTCCATTGGCTGGTGATGATCAGGTATGACTCTTTGTCAGCTTTACCTACTGATTGTGTGTGTGTTTTCCTTATCTGCCTGTTGCATATATATGCTTGTGGACAGATTGTTTTTTTTTCGTTTGTTTTTTTGTTTGTTTTTTATTGCTTATGCTGCTTAATCTTATGTTGGATGTTATCTTGATTTGAGGAACTGTGTTGGCTCAAATGGTATATTTGCATCTTTTGAAATTCTTTGCAGACTGTAAGGGTTGCTTCCATGAAATGTATTGATGAGTTACGTGCCTTGTGGTGTCGCATTGAACGTTCTGGCAAGAAAAACGGTACTTCATTCTCAGATTATTTGTATTTAACCCATTATGCCTAATTATATTTACCTATAGAAGTACCTAAACTTGTAACCACAGGGAACAATGCTACATGGTTCCATTTTCTGGGCGAACTACTATTGCTGTTGGATCAGCAAAAAACACTTATATTGTCTGACAAGAAGTTTCTTCCTTCATTGTTCGCATCCACACTGGGTTCATCCTGTCATAATATCTTAGTACCTCAAAATATGGAAAACAGGTATATAATGTTACTTCAACTATTATCTTTTGGAGGCTCCATTTTTATCACCACACGACTATTTGGTATATGTTCATTGACTTAGCTGCTCATCACATCCATTTCCATGTTTCCTGCTTCTGTTATTGAAAATTTCCAGATCTTTCAAATGTGTAGAGGGGAATTTGGATATATCGTCTATATCTTACTTCCATATAATGTGTAAAATATTGGGATAGATTGTGTGGCCTGGCCTTTTACAAGTAATTGAGCTGTTGCTTCGTATTGCTAAAATGGGATAGCTTAGGATTTAGGGATATTCTGTTGTGATTGACTCTAAATTAGTTGATGCAGATTTATGTGATGTGTCATTTGCTATCTTTCACTATGTTGCCCGTTGGTGCTTTTTTGTCTTTCTAGCAGGACTGTTCATTATTTTCGTCCAGAAAAATTATTCATTTGTATTTACTTCCGTGATTTTTTCCTGCTTTATTTCTGGACATAGGTTTGACCAGCCCACTAAAGAAAGAATACTTGAGTTCATTTTGGGTTCTGCTCTGAAATTCTCCAACTACGGGAAGGTTTGATGTCTTCACATTAACTCTCTCTGTTTCTCTTCATATGATTTTCATTGTGGAATAGCGATATGACTTTGAGCATTCATTTTTCTGGCAGCTAATGATTCTCTCCTTGCTCAAGGGAGTTGGGTATGCTATTATGCATCCTAATATTGCGCCAGTGTTGTCTCGTTCTATAGAGCAATACTATGATGACCGCAGTAAATCTCGCCAGAAAATTTCGAACACCAGAACTAAGATAATGTGCCTTTTGTTGGAGGTGTGTGTATTCTAATATTAAATTTTAGCTGTTGTAACCATTAATCTGAGGTTTGGTGAGCTAATTCTCTTTCTTTGTGTAGAGCTGTGTTATGTCATCTCCCTCAGGTGGAGATGATCTTCAAGATCCTTTACTGAAAACGTTGCAGGTGAGAAATCAAGATACATGTTTTTTGTATGTCCTGCCCTTGCTTGTCATCGTGAATTTACTGACCTTGGTCGCCTTTTTCAGTTGGATGACATGACTTCAGATGACCCTGCCTATATAGAGCCTTGTATCTCTGTCTTGAACAAACTTAATAGTCAATTCTACACGGGGTTGCAGAATAAAGTAAAGGTCTTAGCAATACAATTATTTATTTCTAGAGTCTGTTGTCATTCATGATAAGCAGACTTGTACATTTTCTTGGTGTGATGCACTGCGATAATTTTGTTGGGTAAACGAAAAACATCACTACCAATCTAGTCCCTACTATGACCTAAACTATTGTCTTTTTCTTGTATGTCAGGAGGATTTATTTCGGGCACTTGTTTTTTTGTGCCGTAGTGCTAACGGTGATGTACAAAGTGCAACTAAAGAGGCTTTAATGCGCATAGATGTGAGTTTCTTGCTTTTGGTTATTTTTTGATCAAACATGTCTTGTCTTAATTAAGGTTAGTTTGCTTGTTTTTCATTTTGGTTTCTGCTTTGTATTTCTCTGGTTCATTGCAACCTAAAACAGACAACCAAAACAGCTGTTTACCACTAAAAATGTGACACACATAAGCCATCGTCAATGTTTTTCTGAATTGACCAAATTAGCCTAACACTATTTATACTACATTGCTAAAGACAGTTCTATCCTTAAATAAGCCAATGACAGAGAGGTGTTTCATTCAGTGCACTCGGTGACAACTGACTAAGAGTGCATATTGCCACAAATTCTTTTTCATTCAATTTGTAGAACAAGCATTTAGTAACTATTTTGAAGTAGGGCACATCCAGAGCTTGCTCAGGAAGGACCCCAAGACGTCCAAGACTATCCAGTAGTAAATAATTATCATCAATTGTACTGAGTACTACTATATAGACAAATCAAGTTACTATGGTGATTTTGGAATTCTGAATATGTTTTTGAAGAGGAAATCTCTATTTATTTGCAGAATGAGTAAGATAAAGAACTGAATATTTACATGAAATATGAAACACACCATTATTCTTTGGTTGACAATGACATGTTTATGTTGAGAACTATAAATCCAGTGAAATTGATATATCTTATATTTAGCTAGCCATGCTATCCTGGGATTATATTAGTTTTCATTTTGGACAATGCCTGTTTTTCTTTGTATGAACAGTTGAATTTTATAATTAATTTATGGTATTATATTCTAAATGTGATAAATAGTGTTATATCATACCTTGTGTCAAATGTCGTCTACTATTTCTTTCAATGAAATATTAAGATGGATGTTTTCTTGTATAAGTTTTAACAGTAACATTTAAATTCTCAGTTTGATTTCACTTGGCCATTATATTTTTGGTCAATGAGTTATTTGCATTATATATTTTTTTTTTGGGGATTACTATGTTTTGTTTATTGCAGTAGGTGTTTTTCTCCAGCTTCCATTTCAAAAAAGGGAAAAATTAAACCGAGAATAATTTGTGGTTTTTATGGAATTGCAGATAAATTTCTCAACTGTTGGCCACATACTTGATCTCATACTTGCACCAAAATGTGGCAAAGTTAGGTCAGCAGATGAGAAGACAAAAAAGAGACAGAAATTGACAATAGATCAAGAAGCAGAACTTCCCACTAATGACATATGCAGAATAGATGATCCAGCCTATCTTCTTAGTTCCCTTCTTGACGTTTTATTACTGAAGAAAGACATAATAAACAGGTGATTTTATTATTATCTTAATACCATGACTGGAAAGTTGGACAAATCATTTCGTTGTGCTAAATTTGTAGTTTGGTTCTTGCAGGCATTTTCTTTTAGACCCCTTATTTAAACTTCTTAGCAAGGTATTTTCAGAAGAATGGGTAAATGATACTCTTTCCCTTGAGGAAGGATCAAGCCAATCATCATCAAGTCCTTCTGAATCCATAAATCATATTCAACAGACTCTATTGATTATCCTGGAGGATATAATCATGTCTCTTAAAAGCATAACTGCGCATAATGTATGCTTTCTTATGGTGAATCTGAAATATTTATATGATAATAGAAAATTTAAACGACGTCATCGTGTATTTTTCTGCTTCCTTTGATTAATTTTCATTACTTATGACAGGAAAGAATGACGGATGAGATTAACATCAAGCTACTGATAGAGTGTGCCCGGACTACCAATGTTTTAGTCACCCGCAACCATATATTTTCTCTGCTTTCTGCTGTTATTAAAGTTTTGCCAGAAAAAGTCTTCGATCATATACTTGATATTCTTCCGGTTATTGGTTTATCAGCTGTTACACAGGTCTGTAAATGTTGGCTTCCCCCTCATTTGGGTCCCTGCTTCTTTTCTTCAATCCTCAATTTTAATGATTAAATCCGTATTAAATCTTCCAACTTTTGTAATCTCTTGCTTGCAAAATTTTGAGGGTATGGGTCCAATATTCCAAATAACCACTCACCATTTCTATGTAGATTGACAGTCATTCAAAGCATGTTTTTGAGGATCTAATATCTGCGATTGTTCCTTGTTGGCTGTCTAAGACAGATGATGTGGAGAATTTACTGAAGGTTGGTATTTCATGAAAATACTTCTGGGCCTTAATATCTCTCCCTCATGGTTGGAAGTGACTCTTAGTCAATCAATCTTATAATATTTTTTTTCATCCTTCAGGTTTTCATAGATATATTTCCTGAAATAGTTGAGCACAGAAGGCTATCCATTGTTTTACATCTCCTAGGGTACTTTCTATATGATCCTAATATTGTAATTATCCATTAGTTTGTGATCTGCATCTTATACGGGTGAATGTTTTACAGAACTTTGGGCGAGGGTAAAAGCTTGGCCTCATTGCTTATCTTGTTGTTTTCTTCACTGGTTTCAAGGAAAGCCAGCCATTTCGTTAATATTCAGACGCCAGATGCTTTAACATTTTGTACTAAAGAGTGGGAATATAAATTAGCAATGCAGATTTGTGAGCAGTTTACAAGTATGACCTGGCTTCCATCTTTAGTTATTATCCTTGAACAGAGAGGAAATACAAATGTTGACCGGTTAATGTTTCTGGAGTTGTTTCTGGCAATGCAATTTTCTTTGCAAAAATTGCAAGATCCAGAATTGCTGTTCAAACTAGAATCAGGGGAAGACACAGTTGTCATTCAGGTATAATCCATATCACAAATGTTGCGACAAAGTTTATGCCTTTTAATATCTCACTTTGTTCAATTCTATCGGTAAACGTCCTGATGGCAGTTTATATAATGATTTTTGAAAAGCACCAGTGTCGAATGTTCATTGTTAAATATCTCATTGACATAGTTTAGAAATTGATATCTCTTAGTTGAGCAATTAATGTGATGTATTTGCAATGTGAAATTGTTAGCTTTCAGTAAATCAGAAATTTCTTCAGTATATTGAAATTTAAATCTTTGGCTAATATTAATAAAACTGAAGCTGTCTTAGCATTATGAACTGAAATACTCTTTGTATATAGACTGTTTGATTTTGCAGTGTATTTAACTATTTTTCATTCTGAGATGCTATTTTTGGTTTCTCAGTGTGATATCACTGGTCTTGCATGCTTTTATGTTATGTTCTATTCTTTGATTATTCTTTGAACAGTTCTGTTTATTCCAGTCAAAGATTCATATTCATATTCAAATTCAAATTATGTGATGGGCTGTCATTATTGCAGACAGCACTTGGAGGGCTTATGGAACATGTTGTTTTCCTTTTGCATCTTATAGATGCAAGAAAAAAACAACTGAATTTCCCAGTCAATATAAGGAAAGAGTTGAAGGAAACTATGCGTGCTCTTGTGAGGAATATAACAATGGTCATGATACCTTCTGTATACTTTAAGAGCATAATTAAGTTGCTCCACCATTCAGATAAAAATGTTGGAAAAATGGTACGATTTTTTATTAGATTATTTCAAATATAATAAAGTTATATTAGAATCTTGCATGACTATGATCTAATATGCGTTCCATAATTTGTTTGTCTCTTTATTCTCCTAGTTTTAGTGACCAGGAAATTGGATTTAGGATATTCCCTTAAACATATATTGTATTTTCATTCGAGGATTTGTAATAAGAGACCCATTATTCACATGCTTTACATATGCCATGGTTCTACTACATCTAGCAAAAGTTATATTTTTGTTAGTTTGTCATCACTACACATCTTGGTAAACATATTGAGTGTGAATACATTGACAACTATTACGTTATCTGATACTGCATGACTTGTGCTACAGGCTCTTGGGCTGTTATGTGTTGCAGCAAGAAATCACGAAAAAGTCAGCTTAGCTCTTAAAGACAACAAAGGTTCAAGGTCAAGATCAAGTTTTCCTTGGCTTCATATGGATGAAAGTTCTCAAGAGTCACTTGATAAAATGTGTTTAGAAATTCTTCAAGTACTTGATGATTCATCAAATACCTCTTTGAAAGTAGCAGCAGTTTCAGCGTTGGAAGTTCTTGCAGAAAGGTTCCCTTCGAATAGTTCCATCTTTGGTGTATGCCTTGGATCTATTACAAAATGTATTACATCTCATAACTTGGCTGTAACTTCTAGCTGCCTTCGAGCATCTGCTGCTTTGATCAATGTTCTTGGTCCAAAAGCATTGGCTGAACTTCCTCAAATTATGGACAATGTGATGAAGTCCTCTCGTATTGTGCTGTCTAGTCAGGATTTGAAACCAAAAACTAATGAGGTTTTATCAGTCTCAAATGAACCCCATTTTATTTCTGTTCTTGTTACTTTGGAGGCAGTTGTGGACAAGCTTGGTGGATTCCTAAATCCATATCTCACAAATATCATGGAGCTTCTGGTGCTTCATCCCGAATATGTCTCAGGAATGTATCCCAAAGTGGAATCCCGAGCTCATGGATTACGAAAGCTTCTTGCTGGAAAAATTCCAGTAAGGCTTGCTATAACATAAGTATTGTTTGGCTGTGCTAGTATTAAATGAGTGCCTGTTTTTCTAACTGAACATCATTTTATTACAGGTACGACTTTCCTTGCCGCCGTTGTTAAAACTATATCCTGCTGCTGTTGAAGCTGGGGATAAAAGCTTAAAAGTTGTGTTTGATATGTTGGCAACATTTATTGGTGCAATGGACAGATCATCTATCGGGGCATTCCATGGAAAGATTTTTGACTTTTGCCTGGTTGCTCTTGATCTTCGCCGTCAAAGTCCTCGTTCAGTTCAAAACATTGATTTAGTGGAAAAAGGTGTGATGAGTGCTATGCTTGCGCTGACCCTAAAACTTACAGAGAGCATGTTCAAGCCTCTTTTTGTAAAGAGTATTGAATGGGCAGAATCTGTAGTGGATGAAACTGCATCAGCAGGAAGCATGGATAGGGCCATATCTTTTTATGGCATGGTAAATAAGCTTGCTGAGAACCATCGGTAAGTCACTGCCTAATTTCTCTATATATTCCTTAGATAATATTTGTAATAAGTGCTTTACGGAGGTTATGAAAGTTAAAGGACTCTTTGTCCAGGTATCTCTAGATTTTTTTGGGTAAGCTTTTCATTATTGGCAGAAGATTTTATAAAGTAGTGTATTCAATTGAACTACACAATCATGTCAACTATTGATGCAGTTGCGTTACGAAGTAGTTGCTGTTTGTTTACAATATTATATTGAAAATTTTGACACGTGTATATAATAAATTATGACTTGTTTTTATTTGAAATGATTATCAAATGACATTCTTTTCTTATTTCTAGGTCATTGTTTGTTCCTTACTTCAAATACCTACTTGGTAGTTGTGTTTATCATCTAGGCGACGGCGGAGACTCTAATGTGACTAGTCTGAGTCGGAAGAAAAAGAAGGCTAAGATTATGGATGATGGTGATGTAAAAGAAACAAGTAGCTTATCTATCAAGGAATGGCATCTCAGGACACTAGTCCTGTCATCCTTACACAAGTGTTTCCTCTATGACACTGGGAGCTTGAAGTTTCTTGAGTCCTCAAATTTCCAGGTTAATATATTTTTTACACAAATTATTCGAATGGGTTGTAGAAAAGGTTTATGCAGATATTTTTTCATCTTATTGTTTGAATGGCACATTCCATTATAAGTGCATTTTTTGGCATCTTGCTTGTTTGTGAAATTTTTCATTGCATCTGATATTACTTTGCATATTATCTTCATTTTCTTATCTACATTATAAGTCGTCGACCCGATTTAGTGGGGCAAGGCATTGTGGTTGTTACCTGCTTTATAATCAAGTAAAATATTTATTTTAGACATTAAGCCTCCTTGAGCAGTGATTTTGCTTGTCATATCACTTCACTGACTCTCCTATGATGCTTGTTGCAGATGTTGTTAAAACCTATTGTCTCACAACTTGTCCTAGATCCACCTGCAATGCTAGATGACAACAGCTTGAGTATACCTAGCGTGAAGGAATTTGATGACCTACTTGTCGTGTGCATCGGCCAAATGGCTGTCACAGCTGGTTCTGACCTTTTGTGGAAACCTCTGAACCACGAGGTATTGTTTGTTATTTCTATTTCTGGTGTACTCTCAATCGATGCTGTGCTGAGTATATATTACCAATAGTAATATACTAGGATAAAGTATCTTATAAAACTCATCTAAGTTGAAAAATGCATGCAACTTTTGAATTACCTTTTCGGGTATTTTGAGTAAAAATTCAAGTAACCATTTCAAGTTATCCACATTCTCTATCAGCTGAATACTTGTCCATATTTTTGGTTATTTTGCAGGTTTTGATGCAGACACGTAGCGAGAAGACACGGACTAGAATATTGGGCCTGAGAATTATTAAACATTTTGTAGATAACTTGAAAGAAGAATATTTAGTATTATTAGCGGAAACAATCCCGTTCCTTGGTGAACTTCTCGAGGATGTGGAGCTTTCAGTTAAATCTCTTGCTCAAGAAATTCTACAGGAAATGGAGTCTATGAGTGGGGAGAGCCTTCGGCAATACCTATGATCTTAGATTAGGAAGGTAGTGTTTATGGCAATAGCTGTGACCTGACGAGTGCGAGCTAGAAATGTGTAATCGAATATAGGGAATTCGTTTGTAGTCCAATGTACATTATGGCCATTTTAAAGGAAAGTGCCATTTTTCTTATACTGATAAAAGTTCAAGTTCAATTATTTTTGCATACAATTTTAAGAGCGTTAATCATGAAAATTATGAATGCTTTTAAAAAGTAGTATTTTAAACAAAATCAAAGGACGAGTGCTTTTAAAAGAAGTATTCGAAATAAAAAGAATGTGTTAAATTAAGAGGGATTTTAACTAGGCCTCTTATCACATAACATATATTTTAGTGAATATCTAATTTGTTATAGTTTTCTCTGTTCCAAGTTGTAATTAATAACAATTTAGACTAAAATTAAATGTCTTTAATTTTTGAGAATTTCTTAATATGCCCTATATGTTATGCGACATGTGAAAAAGTAAAAATATTAAAATGTTGTTAGATTTTGGAGATGTATTTTTGGACTCATCCAATACACATAACATAGGCTATTTTGAGTGATGTCTTTTTAGTTGATTTTTTTATTTTATTTTAAAATTCAGAGATGCATCTTTGAAATTTGTTTGGAGATGCATTTTTGAAACACATGTGAAAAACTAGAATATTGTATTTTGAGAATATAGTATTTTAACAAATTAAAGTTATCATTCATAACATAAAATTAACATTACATATATAATTTTAACGTATAATGCAACATTATATTTCAATATCTAGGCGAGTGCTTCAACATCTTCACTATATCTTTGATCGCGAAACTTGTTTCGAAACAGAAAAATATATTCTACATAGTCCTTACATCTGTATCTGTCTTGAGCTCAAAGTTGTTGAACTCAATTTTGTCTTCGTTGTCAATTGACGGTGAACGATACTCGAGTTTCATTATTTTTTTATTGTCTTCGTATTTCAGTTCTGTAAAAGAGGTGTATTAATTGAGCTTAAACTTTTGTCTGGATGTCGTGTTGGAGAAGAAGACATTTGCGACATGACAGAAGATGTTTATTTGTGACATTTGAGACATTTCCAATTTGTGTGAAAAAACAAGAACACCTTAATTTATAGAAGGTGTAGACAAATGTGGACCTCACAAAGTCTAGCATGCTGAACCCAGAGATATATCTCCGATCCGCACCCTATTATCTAGTTTCGGAGATATATCTCTGAAACCTCTTCTGGACAAGCATAAAACAGGACCTACATGAAGACGTTGTTTGTCAAAAGAACAAAGGTTTTAGCAAAGATACAAAATGTATTAAAATATTAATAAATTGAATATATCACATTTAATTAATATTAAGACATAATTACATACACTTATTTGTTCGACTAAACAAAAAGTTAAAACAAATTGAAACATTTGTCGCAGGCTAAATTTATGGGTGCTACACCATTATCATAAAAGCTAAGCCTCTTCCAGTGAGTGCAAACCTCATCCATTGAGTGTAACTCTTAAGTTTGTTGTCTTTAAACCTGTGTTTCAAAACTGTGATGCTCCGACCAAATGATATCTGTATCTTATTATGTTGGTTCTGAATTATTTGGTTTACAAAGTCCCAGTCTCTACCCAAATCTCTTACTATTTTTCAACCAATTCTTCAATGTAGCATGGGTAGATTCAACTCGGTTAGATGTTGTGTTTCTAAGGCGTCTAACCTCATCGATCCAAGTAGAAACAATTTTCTCTTTCACTTGGTTAAAAATTGTGCTTTTAATATATTTCAACATATCAAAATATTTTTTCGCACACTTTCCTGAAATGCATAACAAAATCAACATATAATTCTTTAGTGGAAGAATTTACTATACAATTCCACGCATCCATTATTTTTTCCACAACTACACCGCCTTCACCATTTTTCCATCTTCGGACTCTACCTGTTTTGTCCATACCGCAAGTTTAACCCGACTTCTCACATTCTTTATTATGTGATACCTACAAAGTAATGCATAAGAAGTAAGAAATACCTTTGCAACCAAATTCATCAAGGCGGTGTCACGGTCAGTTACATTCACTTTAGGCATCTTTTCTTTGTTCTTCAACATTGCTCGACACACCTCTAAGATCCAAGTAACATTCTCCTTTTTTTTTTCGCTCTCTAAAAACACAAACCCGATATAATAGATCTTTGCAGTAGAGATAACACCAACCATCTTCAATAATGGAAGTCTATACTTGTTGGTCTTGTACGTTGAATCAATTATGAGAACAATAGGAAACATGTTGGACAGTTTGATGTAATCAGGATGAGTCCAAAATATATCTATAACAGTAACTCCATTCTCACACGTTCGGTATCTAGACACATAACTGTTATCATCCAACAGTTTCAAGAGTTATTGTATTTAAGTTCAATCTCCCTAGCGCCTGGTTAGTTTGGTAACTTCTCACACAAGTCATGGTTATGTAAGTCACATATCACATTAGATCTCCATTTATTGTTTACCAGTATATAACCACACAACTTAAAACATCACTCACATTTTCTTAAATCGGTGTCGTCTCGTTTATAATTCTGTAGATGAAGTCTATATTTCCTGCTTCTTTCGTACGCCATTGTCACAAAAGCATATCTTCTATCTGAACAATTACCGGACCTTCCGATAACCACACCAAATTTCAGTTTGGAGGTCTCCGTACGAATCCATTGAAACATGTGATCACTAAATTCAAACTTTTTCCCATTTTTAAATTGGTTGCTAACATCTACCGCCTTCACAACAACACATTTGACAGTGGGAGACACAACTTGTTTGGGGAAAATATCAAAGGTGCAACATATCTAATAAAAACAATTACCACAGAAGAGTAAATAAGTGCTAATTTTGTAAACATTGCTGGAAATATGAACCAAAAATGCATTTTCGGATGAGTTCATACTCGTTCTGAAAATGTATCTCTGAAATAAACGCACATTTTTCATGAATAAAACAAGTTTAATGTGATCAATGAGGCTTGAAATAAATGATATTTACCTGAAATTTCAACTTCTTTTCCTCTATTTGATGTGATGAAATACAAGATTGCAGATTTGAAGTGAAAATGTGGATTGAGAATAGAAGAATTTTTGATGAGGGTTATGAGTGAACCATTTAAAAGAGTTTATAATATTAGAAGCTTTTAAGGAGCACTTGGTGCAACCATAGTAGAACCATTTGTATTTTGAAACAACAAATTTCGAAATAGTTGCTACCGTATCGCAAAAAGTTTCCTAAGCATGTAAACAAACAATAATTGAGTTCAATACAAATTTACTATGAAATTGGAAACACAAATTCATGTTCATATTACCTGTTTTAGTTTTACAAAATCGGTTAGGTACATGCACTTGACATTATATATAAACATATCTATTGTTGTAAATTGTGAATCACCAGATAATTTAGAGAAAGACTTTATTGACCGCATAGGTTTCTCATTCTTCTCAATTAAGGTAACTTGAATTAACATATAAATATAAATAACATATACCAAAAATAATAAAATCTATCATTAAGTTTTAAAAGGATGAAGTACACATACTTTGAAAAAAAAATTTTGTATTTTAAGAATATCTCCGTTAATTAGCAATTTTGAACCACTCCTTCTGTTTGAAATTGTGGAATATTTTATTATGTAATGAGAATATAAGAAAATATAAAAGCATATATGAAGGTTTATGATGAAATGACCTTGGGTATCTTTTGTTATTGCATGTGTTAAAATAATAACTATTCCTCCAAATTTGCAACATCCTTGTAATAAGTTATGAACTTAGATCCATAATTTTCTCAAAGATTACAATTTATGATATCCCCCCTATATCACAAAAACATTATGCTAAACAAATTGATATACTTAATTCAGGTCAAATAAACAATAAAAACGAAATATAGTCGATTGAATAATTTACTTCAAATCTCTCAATTTCAATGACACAACAACCTTCTTCTCACTTGTTTTTTTATTTAATTTGAAAAAAATATTGGTACCTTTAACGTTAGTTAACATAAAATCTTAAATTTTATAAAATTAAAATGATATTAAAAAATAATGTGATATAGTACTTTTTTATAGTTAATTAAGGACTCTTAAATCAAAATTGAACTTTAGAACTTTTACTTGTGTATTTTTTATAATTATCATCTTTACATTTAGCGATTAAAAACAAGTTATACTAATAATGCTATTTACAACAAAAAAAAAAGCCTTTTGTTCTTGGGCATTTGCCCTTCTTATTTAAAAAAAAAATTCGGTTACTAATAATTATATTTATTTTTAAAAATAATACATAATTTATATTTAAAATTAATGTATTTTATTTCATTAATATGTATGTTATTAAATAATATAAAAAATATACATATATTCAATTATGTTTCACAAATATATATATATATATATATATATATATATATATATATATATATATATATATATATATATATATATAATTTTTTTGCTTTCATATGTTAAATTTTCTGACTCCGTCCCTGTGGACAATCCCAATCAAATCTGATATGAACAAAATATATATTAAGAATGTAAAATGAGTCTTTTTATAAAACAATGGTAAGTATACAAAATGCGAAATTCTAAAATTTACCTTCAAGTCTATCACTTTTACGTTCCCCATGCAGGATTCAACAAAATCCCTGAAGTAAAACTTCATAGGAGGGGATGTTGGCAATCCCAATAGGTTTGACAATTGTGCCAGTTAGAAATACAAATATTTTCAAATGATCATATCTTATTATTAATTACGGTCTAAACTTGATAATTCGAAAAGCAAGACGCCTTGTGTCTTTGGAATCATCGATGTCCTTAACACAGAGACATTATGGGATGCAAAAATTCAGCAACATAAGCATCAACGCAATACCTTTCCCAGCGAAAATCATGTAACAGATTCATGATCCAAGGAACAAGTCATAAATGCAGGGAAAATCATTGTGACTGGTACACTATC